AATCGACCGCCAGCCAGCTGTCGGGGCTGGCCAAGCTGGGCATGGGAGTGACCAGCATGATTGCGCAGACGGTGGCCTCCACCAGCGCGGCAGAGGACATTGACGCCCTGGCGGACGAGGTGGGAGGCTTCTGCGGCCTGCCGCCCGCGGCGCCCGGGCCGCGGCCCGCGGCGCTGCCCCCGGCGCGCGGCGCGCCGGCGGGCGCGGCCAGCGGCGGCGGCGGAGGCGGCGGCAGCGGCGGCGGAGGCCCCGGCGACTCGCCCAGCGGCAGCTTTGACGCCAACATTTGAGGCTGGGCCGGCGGCCCGTGTTGCGGCTGAACGTTTTGGTCAACGGTCCCGCAGTTTTGTTCTCTCTCTCTCTCTCTCTCTCTCGTGCCCTATTTCATTACTCTGCGCCTGTGACACAGTGGCAGGCAACCACGGCCCACGCGGCGACAGCTCAAGAGGCAGGCAACCCACACCGCAGCAGCAGGGCACTTCCGCTCCCTACAGCTGCGCCGGCTGCTCCGCCTATGCCGCCGCCAGCTGCTCTGCCAGCTGGTTAAAGCTGCTTGCCACCAGCTGCGGCTGCTGTGGCAGGAACGCGGGGTAGGCGTCCCACCTGTCGCGCTGCACGTACGCCGCCTGCAGCCCCGCCTGCATTTGGGGCCGGGCAGCACACACCAAGGAACCAACACCTTGCTGTGCAGGGCCTACCAGCTCGATGCCTGCACGGCAGGCGTAGCAGGCGGGGGCCAGAGCGGCAGCTGTGGCAGCATGGAGGCAGGCAGGGCACATGTGTGTCACCTGCAGCGCCCCGTAGATGTCCCAGGGGTGGGAGGCCACCATCATGACCTGCACAGGGAGGGGAGCAGGCTGGAGGGGAGCAGGCTGTGCTGAAAGCTGCAGACGCTCTACCATTCGTGCAGCTTGCTCACTGCCCAGCACGCTTGCTTGCTGCCCAGCACACTTGCAGCTTGCTGCCCAGCGTGCCTTCACCTGCCCCGGCGCCAGCCCGAGCTGCTCCACCGCCCATGCATAGCTCTGCGGCGCGGGCTTCCAGGCGCCTGCCATGCCTACGTCCAGCAAGCAGCTGAACACGCCTTCCAGCCCTGCCTTTTGCAGCACGCTCCTGGCGATCGAGTCGGCTGCTATCGAGTCGGCGGCATGGGTCAATAGATCGCATGCAGATCGCATGCAGAGGGGAGCGAGTGAGATGGCATGGCATGGGCAGCTGGAGCTTTGCAGTAGGAGCACAGGGCCTGCCTGCCGCCCCTCACCCGAGCCGTTTGTCAGCACCGCCAGCCGCAGGCCCGAGGCGTGCAGCGCGCGCAGCCCCGTGCCGGCGTCAGGCCACAGGTCGGCGGCGGACCAGGCTGACAGCACCCTGGCCAGCGCCTGCTCGACTGGCAGGCTGCGAGGTGGCCAGGCGGCGCAGCAGGGGGTGCCAGGCACTCCTCAACCTGGTCCCTTTGGATACCAGATGGCAGGCCAGATGCAATGAAGTGAAAATGGCAGTACTGCAATTTGCCTCGTTGTGCGTGGGGCAGAGGACCAGCAGAAGACCAGCAGCAGAGCGCCTCGCTCACGCTGCAGAGGAAGAGGACTTGGAGGAGGGGCTGCCGTGGGCGCTCAGCAGGCAGGCCAGATGGTGCGCCGCCCAGTGCCTGAACGGCTGGAAGGAGCCGGCCAGCTGCGCCGCAAAGCCGTCGCGCAGCACGCGGGAGAACCAGACCTGCAACCCACCAGGGAAAAGATCAGCAGGGGGGTAGGTGTCGCACCTGTGTGGCAGGGTACAGGCTGAGCGGCCCTGGCGCCGCTACAGCCGCCGTTTTGATGGCCCACCCATGTCGGCTGCTCTCCCGCCAGGAACAGCTATCGCATCCCACCTCTACCGCGCTGGAGGGAAGCCCCAGCTCCCGGAAAGCGCTGGCCGCGGAGTCTGCGGGGAAAAGGGTGCCATTCACGTCGAACAGCAGGGCCACCGGTTTCGGCATTGCGATTTGCTTCTAATCGGCGCATGATGCAGCATTCATTGCGTGGTGACATGGCACCTGTCGGCGCCATGTCAGCAAGGCCGCCCCAAACCGTTGACTGTTTCAACATGAGCAGGTGGCCTGCTGAAATTGCGGGCATGCACATCACGATGGGGCAGGACATGAGTCTAAGGGGGGAGGCATACGGCTGATGCAGAACAACAAGTCCTTAGCACGGCGGTGCCGCCGGCATTAGGCCACAACGCCGTCGCACTGCGGTGGAGGCTGCGATGTTGGAGCGCGAGGTGTGGCGCCGCCCCAGCCGCTGCCGCTACCTGCCACCTTGTGCTTGGCCCCCACGCTCAGCTATGCCCCCTGCCCCGGCTTCTCCTCGGGCAGCAGCAGGACCTCCACCAGCGCCAGGAAGCCCACAGCCAGCGCCTTGGCCGCGCGCGGCTGCCACCGCTCGCCACGCTGGCTGCTGACCGCCGCTGCGCCGGCGCCGCAGGCCAGGTGGAAGCAGCCGAGCGCCACGGCCACCTGCGGGCGCAGCAGGGAGGGCAGGGGTGGGCATGTCAGCGCCTGGCTAGCAGCCACGTGCCGGTCGATGTCTGCATTCAGCGTGCTGGAGCCCATGCAAACGGCAAGCGCGCCCGGTGGAGCAGTTCTGCCGCTCGACTCGTCGGCAGGTAGCCTGCTTGCCTGCTGCAGCTGGCCCTCCTGCTCCTTTGTGAGCACCCCAATGCGGCTCCAATCCCCGCTATAGGCCGCGTCTATCAGCATGAGGACCAGCAGCACCACGCCCAGCTGCAGCCAGACCCTGTAAAAGGGCGAGGCCACCAGTTGGGCGGCTGCCGGCTGCCAGCCGCTGGTGGCGGCGGGCTCGGGGCCGCCGCCGCCGCCTGCCCGGCAGAGGTGGGGGTGTGGGCGCCAAGCCTGCAGTGATCGCAGATTGGAGCTGGCGAGACTGTGGTCCCCGGAGGCGTCCAATCCAAAGGCCCACAGAGATCGTCTCACCCTCAAGAACCCTAATGCTCCTTCTTGCACCAGTTGCCTGCTGCTGATCGGTGCGGCTCTCGCATTGATCGCTGAGGACGGCCTGTGCCGCAGAAGCGCTGCTGGGCGAGTGCTGGCGCTGCTGGGTGTGTGTGAGGGCGCGCGAACCACAGCTCTGCAGGGTAGTGACATGGTTAAAAGATGGCGAGTTGATCGGCTGGTGCACAGAGGGAATCGTGTCTTGCATCACTGATATGCCGCCGCCAGCGGGCGCCAGCGGGCGGCTGCTGATGGTGTCGACCCTCGGGCCGCTGTGCAGCTGCATCAGCCGTATAGGTGCCAATGACGGCATCCGGTATGCGCAAGCCAGCTGCTGCCTGCATCGCCTGCCACTCCAGAAGGACCCGATGCACCCGGTGGTCCGCCCATGTCGCCCGTCTGCTCATCCGTGGCACAAGAACCCCCAATTAGTCTGTGCTCACAGAGACCGTGCCATTCACATTCATGCACGGCTGCAACAGCTTCCGGGTCACCAAGATCGCTCGCAGAACCAGTACCACTCAGAAACAAGACGAGTCCGTCGGCTCAACCTCATGGCTGCCTCCGGCCTCGCTCACGCCTCGTGCACGCCGCGCCGCCGCAGGTGCTGCACCACCTGCCACTCCGCCGCCGCCGCGACCAGGTGCTTCAGCGTGTGGCCGCTAATCAGCCGGGCGGTGAGCCGGTACACGGCATGGTCACGTGCCTCTGCCGCCATCGCCACCGCATACAGCCCGAGCCCAGCCAGCAGCGGGCGGTTGCTGCTTCCCCGAGGCGGCGGGTAGACCAGGACCAGGTACAAGCTGGCGACGGCTGCTCAGCAAGGCCGGTGAGCAGGGGGGCAAGGCGCGGAAGGGTCAAACCCGTGGCAGTGGCAGGTGGGGCCAGGGGCGGCGGCAAGGAGGGCACGAGGCATGCAGGCAGCCTGGTGTCGCTGAGCAGCGCCCGGCTGCCAACCACGGCATCAAAAAGACCCGCCAGGCTGGCACCCACCAGCAACCCCGTCAGCCTCACCGGAGCCGCCCTGGGCAAGCATATAGGGTCGCAGGTCTCCCTGCCCTGCCAGCTCGCTGTACCGCCAGTACAGCACGCTGCCGATTCCACCCGCCAGCAGCAGCGGCAGGGCCGCCAGGCCGCAGGCCCCGCCTCGCCGCTGCGCCAGCAGCGCCGCCGCCACCGCGGGGAAGGAAGTGGCGATGCTGACGCGGTCCCACACCAGGGTGGCTGTGGTGGGATCTGAGTGATAGTAGGCTGATGTGGCTCCCACCATCATCATTCCCACCAATGCAGCCACCCAGCAGGCGGCCTCCGGCGCCGGCACGCTGCCTGCTGCGCTGCCGCGGCCGCTGCCGCTGCCGCGGCGCCGCCACAGCCGCCACAACCGCCACAGCCCGGCCGCCCCGGGAGCTGCCACCGGCAGGCTGCTCAGCACGTTGGCTCCCCGCGGAATGCCCAGCAGGGTGCGCTCATCGCCGGCATAGGAGTGGTATACTGGATCTTGGGGGATAGGCGGCAGCGAAAACACCGCAGCCACCACCACCAGCACTGCCGCCGCCTCGGCTGCCAGGCGCACCCCGACTGCAGCTCAGAGGTGGAGGCAGAGCCGGATTGGAGCCAGTGAGGCACGCACAACGGTGGGCAGCATGGCACTGGCAGGTGGCGGGCGCCGCCGTGCGCGGCCAAGTGACTGCGTGGGACCCGGCCCTCCCACCTGTCGTCCCCCGCTTCCTTGCGACTGCGGAAGTCGTTCCGGCTCTAGACCAAGCGGCTGGCTGCGGCTGCAGGTGGAGGAGGTGAGCACGAGACGCCATTGCTAGGGGAGGGGGCACCCCACTCAGTCAGAGGGGCCCAATCGAGTTCCTAGAGCAGTGCGAATGCCTGGCACGGCGCCTGACAGCGCAGCTTAATCAGCGTAGCACAAGTACGCTGCCATTGGGTACGATTGTTTGGAGCTCGAGCCACTGATTGAGCTCCTTTCCCTTCACCAATTCAGGGGCATTGTGTTGCACAGACCGCGAATTAGTGCCGAGAAGAACTCGCGGCCCGCCCAGGCAGCTTGCCGCCCCACCGCCACCGCTACCGCGTCCTCGGCCGGGACACCCTTTCTGTGCAATGCGAAAAGCAAGAAGAAATGTCTGAGAGGAAAACAATTGTAAGGAGTTCTCGATACATAGAGCAGTGGAAAAAAACATCACGAAACAACGGCCAGCGGCGTCAGGTGCGCCCCGGGTTGGCCTGCTCTAGCGCTGCCGCCAGCGCTGCCATCAGGAACCACACCGCGCCGCCCAGGTTGCCGACGCCGTTGATGATTTGCAGCTGCGTCCAGCTGCGGGGCAAGGGATGCATACAGACAGCAATCAGCGGGGCAGCAGCGGCAGTTGCAGCAAGGCAGGAGCTGCACCAGCGTGCATGTGTGCCAGCAGCGGCGACCGCCGCAGCACTGGTGGCTTGCATCAAGCAAAGCTGCTGCGCCGTGTGCGCTGTTTGGTGCACGCACAGCGCACCTGAAGCTGGTGGCGTATGTGGCTGCGCCGCCAATGAGGAAGCCCGCGCTGCCGTAGAAATTCCAGAAGGCTGTGCAAGGGGAGGAAAGGAGAAGGCGTGGAAAGTCGTCGGGAGGGAGCAGCGCAGGAGAGGGCATCTTCTAAGCAGCCCAGCCTCAGCACGGGGATCGGCTGCCGCATGCCCACCCTGCCACATGCCCACCTGCATGCCAGCTGATGCTGCGCAGGTCCTCCGTGCGAGAGGGCACCAGGCCCCGCCACCAGCTGCCGGTCGCCTCCATAGCAAACATGACGGCGCTCACTGCGGGCGCACGAGGGCCGGCCGGCAGGCGGCAGGGGTGGCGGTGGTGGTGAGTGGCGCAGCCGCCACACGGTCGGCAGGCTCGCAAGCAGCGCAGGGCAGGCGCAGGAGTGCGTCGGCGTGGGTGTGGGAGCCCATTCGCCGCGCCCCACCATGTACATTGCATCCTCTTGGTGCTGCCTCTTGTCGCACGGGCGCCCACCTGTGAATGCGGCTCCTCCGTAGGTGAAGCCGAAATTGATGGTCCAGCGTGCCGTGTCGGGCTGCACCGCACCACGTGCAGCGGCCGGGCATGGTGGTCACATGCTGGCCAGGCCCGCCTCCCTTTCCGGTACCACCCAAACTGTCATCCCCTTGCCCAACCCAAACCATCCCAACAGTCATCCTGTGACCACCCCAACTGTCACCCAGCCCCACCCACAGCTGCCGTTTCCTCCAGGCCAGGCAACCCCGCCGCTGGCTTCTGGTTCTAGCAGAAGGCAATGCAGCGGCTGGCTCTGCTGCTGGTGCTGCTGCTACTGCTGCGGCTGCCAGGTCAGCCAGCCAGCAACCTGCCTGCAGCTCGATGATCGTGGCCAAGAAGGCGGCGATGGTGGCGATGTTGAAGCCCTGCGGTGCGCAGCAGCGACGGGCGATGCCGGTGCGTGAGATGAGCGGCAAGCGGCGGGCTGGGGGAGCGACGGGCTGGACGGCGGCGCACGAGGTGCGGTGGTGAGCTGGTTTGTGTTGGTGGCGGGCTGCTGGTGCAGTGCCTGGTGAGCTGGCACGCGGGAGTGGGTGGGGAGGCATGGCAGGCAAGCAAGATGCCTGCGTGCCTGTGGCCAGAGCATGGGGCACACTCCTCCACCCCGGCCGCCCTCTCACCATCATGCCTGTCCACTGAATCACAGAGGCCCACCATGAGATTGTCCGCAGGTCTGCAGCAGGCGTCGGGAGAGGGCGGAAGGAAAGAGCAGATGGGCGGCGCCCACACCAGGCTGACAGGATCTGCTGGCATCGGTCGAACAAGGGACAGCTGCGGCGCCGCGCCAACCAGCTGGGCCAGCACGGCTGCCCAAGCAGGCTGGCAGCTCTCGCGTCGCGGCCCAGGCAGGCCGCCACGGCGGCGAGCGGCGTGCGCACCGTCTCGGTGCGGCTGCAGGCGGTGGTGGGGGCGGGGCCCCTTGCCCCCCTGCTCCTGCCAGGCCGCCAGCTTGCTGCCAAAGTCCATGTTGGTACTCTCCACAATCTGCAGAGAGGGCCAGCATGCGCCCTGGGGTGACCCTCATACCTGCTAGACCAGGCGAGGGTGGGCGGCGTGCGACTACTACTGTCCCGGCTGAGCGGCCTGCTAGGGAGCGTGAGTTACGGCTGCAGGCCCCTGCAGCCGCGCTTGCCTGCCCTCACCTGGATGGCGCCAGCCGGGAAGAAGCACAGGTTTGCCGCGATGAGGTTTGGCCAGGCGATGAGGGCGGCTGACAGCGAGCGGACGCCGTCGCTGCTCTCCACCACCTGCCAGGCAAGCACGGCAGGGGCGGCGCAGGCAGCTGGAAGCATCCGAGGGCGCGCCTGAGCACCTCTGCTTCGGGCGTGCAGGCAAAAGGCAGGCAGGCAGGCAGGCGGGCAGGCAGGCGGGCAGGCAGGGAGCTGGCTGCGGGCCGGGGCGGAGCAGCTGCAGTGCAAGTGCATCGCACCGCGTGCTGAGCACGCAGGGCGGGCTGCTCAACTTTGTTGGCCAGGCGCTGCTGGCAGCTCACCGATTGGATTTCGCCCGCCACCCCGCTGATCACAAACAGCAGGCTGCCCAGAGAGTACAGTATGGCGATCCACCAGCCCAGCTTGCGCCAGTGCTGCCGCGCGTCCAGCCAGCCCAGCCAGTCCACGGGCGGCAGCGGCTTGGAGCAGCGGTAGGGCTGCAGCACGCGCTTGCGGGCGCGGCGCGCCACCCAGCGGAACAGGCGGCCCTCGTGGTCGGTGCCCTCCACGGCCGCCAGCAGCAGCGGCAGGCCGCCCTTGCGCCTGTACACGCCCTCATACTTGAATCCCTGCCTGCAGGGGAGCGAGCGCGCGGGTGGTGGAGGCGGCGGCGGCGGCGCAGCCAGCGGCGGCCCGTCGGGTGCGTGAGCCGGGGCGGCCTCGCGCCCACCTGAGGTCCCGGTGCACCCGCCGGTCCCCAAAAATGCCGTGTTCCCAGAAGTGCTGCCGCCGGGCGTCACTTCCCAATTCGACGTCCTCGCTCAGCTTGTCCTCTACAGGCTTCATCTTTGGCCATACTTTGCCTCGATCGGGCGGGGATGGGACTTTGGGGTCTGCGCATGCCGAAGTGAATGCGCTCCAACGCCAGGGGGACGCAGCACGCAGCAGGCTGGCCGAAACCACACAATCGAGGGATCCACAACCTTTCACGACCTAGTAAATTGGGACACGACCCCTGGCCCGATCCATCCAATCGATTCCGTGCCGAGGACAGCGTTCAGCCTGCTCGCCTTTCAAGCCCCGCAGGCAGTTCACAAATGAGCCTGCAGAGCTGTACGCCGCGTAGCTGCTTCCTGGTAGCCCCCGGCGCCCGGCAGGCGGTGGTGCCCGCCAGCAGCAGCGCGGCAGAGCGGCGGCGCCGCCGCAGGCGGCTGCACGTCTGCGCACAGGCGAGCCCTGCCCCGCTGCCTGCGCCTCGGCTGCAGGCATGCGCACAGCCTGCATGCTGGTACCTGTGCGCCTGCACTGCCCGCCAGCCCTGAATGCGCATCATGCGGCAACCGGCCCGCTGTGCCGCCCCGTCACCCACCCGCCGCCCAGTACAGGTTGAGGTCCCGCCCCGCTTCCCCGCCAGCGACTGGCGCCACAAGGCGCGCCCCATCCCCGCAGGCAGCAGCTACCCAGCCAAGGAGCACTGCAGCCACTGCGGCCTCTGGTGGGTCCCGCAATGCAGTGCGGCATGCGGCACAGGGAAGGCGTGGCCAGTCCGCAAGCCCAGCGCTACCGTCAGCCAGCCTGCCGCTCGTGCGTGCCCTCTGCCCGCCCGCTGGCTTCCGAGCCCACGCTGCCTCCACCCCACCCCCACCCGCATCACCTCAATCCCTCCACCACCCACCCTCCCCTCCCTTGCAGCGACACTTACTACATAGCACACGTGAAGGAGGCTTGTGCCTTCCTTGGCGATGGCATGAGCAAGATTGGGCAGCTGGAGGAGCAGGTGGGCAGGGCCGGCGGGCCGGCGTCGCAGACATACCTGCTGGCCGCCGCCGCTGCCTCCTGCAGCCCAGCAGCACCCCAGCGCTTCCCCAGCCATCCACTGTGCCTCCCGGGGCTCTCTACCTCCACCCCACAGCAGCCACCCTGCACCATGCCTCACGCCTGCAGGCGCATGGGCGGCGGCGGGACCAGGGCAGCGAGGATGAGCTGCGGTTTGGCGTCACGCAGCAGGTACTGTATGCGCGCAACGCGCCGGCGGTGGAGGGGGCGCAGTGGACGGGCATCGTGACGCAGGTGGGGCGCGGGGCGCGGCTGGCGTGTTGCGGGCATGCTGGCGAGGCACACGGCTTGTGTTGTGTGTGTGTGTGTGCGCGTGTGCGTGTGCATGTGTGTGTGTGTGTGTATGTGTGTATGTGTGTGTGTATGTGTGTATGTGTGTGTGTGTGTGTGCCACGCCACCCAATGCCCGCAGCCTGCTGTCATGCGTCTCCCTTACCTCCCTCTCTGCCCGCCGACCGTGCCGTGCCTCGCGGCGCATCTTCCTGCTGCCTCTCCCCCTGGCCTCAGATTGCCATTGAGATGCTGGAGTCGGGCCAGGTGGATGCTGTGGTGTGCGTGCAGAGCCAGGAGGACGATCGCTTCTCGCCCAAGCCGGTGCGCGCTGCGGGCGGCTCGGCAGCCGCGTGGGCGATCCAGCAGCGGCATGAGGCCCCCGCCTGGCGGCGAGGGACGGAGGGTTGCCTGCCTGCACGGTGCTTTGGCCTGCCAGCCATCTGATGATGATGATGGCGGCAGCCGTCGCGGCGGCGGCGGCGGTGGGCACGTGCCCTGCAAGCTCCAGCCCTTGCTGCCTGCCTGCCTGCCTGCCTGCCTGTGCAGATGGTGGCCCGCAGCCGGGAGGACATACTTGCGGCGCGGGGCGTCAAGCCCACGCTGTCCCCCAACCTCAGCGTGCTCGCCACGGTGGAGGCGCTGGATGTGAAGCGCCTCCTGTTCATCGGCGTGGGCTGCCAGGTGGGGGAGGTGGGGTGGGGTGGCAAGGTGGCGTGTGGGGGCCTTGTGGGGCGAGGGAGGGAAGAAAGGCCGGGATGGCGTGGTGGTGGCGGTGCCGGGGCGCGCCTGTTGCCCTTTCCAGTTGATGCCCGCCCACCCAGCCGCGCCTTTAGCCCTCCCCGGCCCGCCCTCCGCCTCACGCCGCCCTTGCCTCGTCCTGCCAGGTGCAAGCGCTGCGGTCGATAGAGCCGCACCTGCAGCTGGAGAAGCTCTATGTGCTGGGCACAAACTGCGTGGACAACGGGCCGCGCCAGGTGCGGGCCGCCACGCGGTACCGCACCAACTGTACATCATGAATGTACCGCACTCATCGTACTGCAGCGCTGCGCTGCATGGATGCACCTGTTGCGTGTGCCAAGATGCACTGCGCATCCGCCTGGCCGCGTTGCTCGAGAGTCTGCTTCAGGGCTGCGGCAGGCAGGCTGCGGCTAGGCTGGGCGCCGGCGCCCCTCAAGCCAGCCCCTGCACCCTGCACCCTCCCGCCTCCTGCACCTGCCTCCCAACTCAGCTCTGCCGCTGCCCGCCGCCCCTGGCGGCGCACCCGTGCCTGCCCTGCAGGGGCTGGAGAAGTTTCTGAACGCCGCCAGCAGCGATCCCGACACCGTGCTTCATTACGAGTTCATGCAGGCACGGGAGAGGCAGGCAGCGGCGGCGGTGGCTGTTGCCTGCCTGTGTGTGCGTGGTGGCGGGTGGTGGTTGTGGTGGTTGGGAGGCTGTGTGCATGAGTGTGGTGGTGTGCATGGAGTGCTCCTGGCCATCGCGCTGCCTTCCCTGCCCGGCCCGTCGCTCCACCGCTTGGGCTGTATTCCGCGGCCGGGGGTGATATCCTCTTCCTCTACCAGCCCATAGGGGGATAGAGGAGGTACATTGGTTCAGAGTGCAGGAGGATGTCGCACTGAACCAATGTATCTCCTGTATCCCCCTACTCGGACCAAGCACACCACCACTGGTCCCTCTCAAACATGACCGGTTCCCTGGGATCAAGCATGCACCCCACCACCCTCCTCCCCTCCCCTGCAGGACTACAAGGTGCACATCAAGCACACCGACGGCTCCTTTGAGTACATCCCCTACTTCTGCCTGCCAGGTGGGCGGCGGTGGTGCATGTCTGCCTGCCAGGTGGGCGGCGGCGGTGCATGTCTGCCTGCCAGGTCGGCGGCGGCGGGTGCATGCCTGCCTGCCAGGTGGGCGAGGGTGGTGGTGCGTGCATGTGCGGTTGGCAGGCGGCGGCAGCACACACTCCTAGCGCCTGCCCGCGGAGCCTCGGCCCGGCCTGGAGCCTCGGCCTGGCCGAGCGCCCTTTGCCGCGCTGCTTCACTTCTGCTGCCATGCGCCCACGTGCATCCCCTGCTGCGCCGCATCCCCGCCGTCCCTTGGGCGTGTGCAGCCAACGAGCTGAACGACGTCATCGCGCCCTCCTGCTACTCCTGCTTCGACTACCCCAACGCCACAGGTGTGTGTGTGTGTGTGTGTGTGTATGGTCCTGGTTCACCCCTCGCGTCCTCCAGCTGCTGCCCTGCCCTGCTCTGCTCCCTGGCAGCCTCACGCATCTTCTCTCAACCCCCACCCTCCTCACCTTCCTTGCCCCACTCTTCTCTCCTCCTGCCCGCTCCTCGCTCCTCCCCATATCCTCCCATCCTGCCCTGCCCTGCCCTGTGCAGCCGACCTGGTGATTGGCTACATGGGGGTGCCCTACCAGAACACAGACATGACCTCACACCTGCAGTACCTTACGGTACGCAACCCGCGGGGCCAGGAGCTGCTGGACTCGGGTGCGGCTGTAGGCGGCGGGCTGCGGGCGGCGGGGCGGCGGTGGCGAGGGAAGGGAGAGAGTGGAACCGGGATGGCAGGGCAGGAAGGGGGCAGGAGTGCAGGGCAGGGAGGGCTGCAGGGCTGCACCGCCGCTCCTGCCTGCCTTACGGAGCCCAGCACGCCCTTGGCATGACAACACCTCCCGCTGCCGCCGGCCTCCTGCAGTGCGGCACCGGCTGGTGGTGGAACCGCCGGTCTCCAGCGGCAGCCGCGGCGCCTTTGTGCTGCAGACGGTGCTGGCAGACGACCAGTGAGTGCGGGCTGTGCATCCCTGGCAGGGCTGGCGGCGCTGGAATGCCGGCAGCCAGGCGGGCAGGCTTGTACTGGCTGCCGGCGTGCCCTGCACCTGCACCATCTGTCGGCCATGGACGCATACCGCCCTGCCAGCCTTCCTGCCGGCGCCATCCACACCCAATCCGCTCCCTGCCTGTGCCTTCGCCCACACCACTCTGCCCCCTACCCCATTGCCTACCCTCCCCTCCGCCTCCTCTGCCCCTCCGCCTCCTGTGCCCCTCCGCCTCCCCGCAGGGCCAAGCTGGGCAAGGGCCCCGACCCGGCGCCGCGCTGGGTGGGCAACCTGCTGGCCTGGGTGCTGGAGCGGGTGGGCCCCAAGGGGCTGGAGTTTGCCAAGTACTCGGTTGACTATCACTACATCAGGTGGGCTGCTTTCTTCTTTCTTCTTTCTTCCTGTGTTGTGCATGAGGGGCCGCTGGGGTGTGTGCAAGTGCTCTGTGGACTGCCACTGCATCAGGTGGCGGCAGCTCCATTTCCTCCAATTCCTCCATTTCTGATGTGTTTCTGTGGTGGGGCGTGTGGGGCGGAGCACACGGTGGCTGCGGAGGGGGTGCGTGCACGCAGTGCGTGCGGTCTTGCGGGGCTGTGCGCGGCGGGCAGCGCATGGCGCCCGCGCCTCACTCCCCAGTGCTGCATCGCCCACTTCTGGCCTGCGCCGCAGGAACTACATCCACGTGATGCGGCACTGGGGCCCCAAACGCGCGGCGCAGCACATCCCGGACTTTGCGCAGCGCATCGTGGCGGAGGTGTGTGTGTGTGTGTGTGTGTTGGCGCTTGGGCGAGGGAGCGCCTGGGGGCAGGGCGGGAGGGGCTCTTGCCGGGTGGTACAGGCGCTGTGGTGCGCTTGGAGTGACGAGGCCTGCAGCCTGCCTCTCCGGCTCCCGGCGACGGACCACCACCGCTGCCCGCAGCTTGGCCGCAGTGCTTTGCTGTGAGGGTGCACTGCCCGCTGGCGCCACCCCATGCTGCAGTACAACCCAAAGGGCATGGTGAGCGAGCGGGCGGCGCTCAAGGGGCCGATGCCGGGCGGCGGCAAGCGCTGAGGTGCCATGGGTTCCAACTTTCCAATCCCTCGCTCTCCTTTCCTGGGCTTATGCATGTACCCAGTGAATCACACATTGTAAATTTGAAAGCAAACAAAGCGTTGAGTCAACTTCTGGAGACGGCCCCAGGGCTAAAGTCAATGCTCATATATTGTGGTCATGAATGATGGAAAGTTTGGAGTGCATGTGCGGAACACCGAAAGAGCAGGGCAGCGGCGCCACAGGAGCAGCATTTTATCAACCAGCGGCATCGGGAATGCTACCTGGCTCGCATCATCAGTATCGATATCATCAAACGACAGCCGCTGCAGCGGGGGATGGGTTGCTGCCCAGTCCCAAAACACACCCCAGCTATCCAACTCTGCACAGCTTGACGCAGGCAGATCACCCATGCTGAAGTATTCAAGCTGGCCCGCCGCAGCCAAAACAGAAGCACTATTTGCCAGGATGCCCCAGTGGGTGCACAGCATGCGCAAGCTGTGCTGCCATGGGCCGCTTGGGAGGCTGCAATGCTCGTCTCCCTCCTGCTCCAGCGTGCTCCAAAATAAGCACCGCTGCAAATGTGCCAGGCCTGCCAGCGCGGTCGGTACCTCGCGCAGGCTGCCCCCCCACACAACTAGGCGTGTCAGCCGCTGGAGTTGGCGAAATGCTGCATCCAAGCCCTGAATGGGAGTAGGTCCTGGAAGATCCAAATGAAGCGCTTCAAGCTGGGTCATCGCCCTGAGCGACCCCGGCAGCAGACAGGGCTCGAAGAGCGCCAGCATTGTCAAGCAGCTCATTTGCGACAGGCAGTCCATGCTGGTGGAGGAATAGGGTGCTGCCACCTCCAGACCCTTCAGGCTGGGCAGAGCCACAAGCTGCAGCGCATTCCCACCCCAAAAGACTGCAATTAATTTGCAATTAAGCATGTGTTTTCCAGAGCATTCCCACGCACAGTAGCATCACATGAAACAACGCCGGTGCATTGATGCTGCTGCGGCTCGCGCACCTGGGGTGGCATTGTCCGTTCAGAGTCATTGATGACAAGATGGGTCAGTGACCGGGGCAGCTGCAACCCTGCCGCAAAAGTCACAGGGTTACCACACAGCTCCAGACTGCCCAGGTTTGTCATGACGCTCATGCCCTGGGGAAGCGTTAAGCTCTTGTCGGTGGATCCAACATCGGCGTGCTCCAGCTGCCGCATGGCGGGCAGCCAGGCGGTGGTGAACAGGGGAGCGGATGCGCCCAGCGTCAGCCGCTTCAGCTGAGTGGCCACTCCTGCTGCTGTTGACAGGATGCCCGCCACTACAGCGCCCAGCTCCCGGTCGTCTCCTTCTCCCGCCTTTACTGCGAGCTTCAAGTTGCGCACAGTAGCCCGGTGCCCCGCCACCCACGCCAGCAGCGACTGCGCTCGCGACAGGACCGCGTCGCCCGAAATGTCAGCATCGACGTTCTTCACCAGCTCGGGGCTTAGGCATATGCTGTGGAAGCGCTTCGAGACCAGACTGAGGCTAGCCAGCCTGCAGGCAGCTGAAGGCAGCGACGTCGGCATGGCGGTGGCGGCGGCGGCCGACTCACCCAGGGTTTACGCAATTAGCAGTGATGCAGGCTCTGCAGGTGAAGCTGAGACCAGCACCGAACTAGTTTAGTAAACTCACCGCTCCTGCTGCTTGATTTGTTTGAACACCTGTGCCAGCACGCTTTCCGGCAGGTCGCAGAGGGTGCTCGCCGGCTCTTTTCGTGTGCTGATGCCACCAGCACCGCGCCTGCGGGGCGGCATAACGCGTGATCGCAAGCTTGTCGACAAATGGAAGCCAGCACGTAGCTACGAAGGCTGATGGGGCAAGCCCGATAGATGGGGCAAGCTCGATAGCATCAGCCGCCTACGTGCACAGTCATCCATTGTGGCACCCTGCCAGCGGGCGTGACCTGGCGCCGTTCTGCTGGCAAAAGGTTGCGGCTCCAAAAGGTTGCGTCGCCTACACCCCGCCGCATCGAACTGGCCTCCATTGAATGCCGCCTCACAACAAAACAGTTTACAGGGGGCACCAATGCAAAGCAGGAGCACGCAGACTGAAAAAGCGATCAATCAGCCAAGGGCCAAGAGGCGCTTGCAACCAAGCCCGGGCGTGGGGCGCATATTGTGGGGCCCGATGGGCCAGTCATTTGAGCGGGGTATACTTAAAGGGTTCAAGGTTCCATGCGTGCTAGGCCGGTGGGCGGGTGGGGCTCCCCAGCACAACACAACACTCCGCTACCCGCTGCCCCGCCAGCCCACCTGGCCGCGGTGCATGGCAGCGCCTGGCTGCCTCGCCGTGAAGTGGTCTGCGCTCGGCGACAGCCAGGGTGTACCGCAGGTACCACCTGTACCGCCCAATGTGTACTGCTCAGTACTTGTAATCCTTGACATACAGGCTCTCGCCTGTGGCAGTCAGGTCGCCCTTGCCCAGCGTCGCCTCGCCTGCGGGCGGGGTGGAAAGTCGACAGCTGATGAGGGCATGCGTGGGCTGGGCTGGGCGCAGGGAGGGGGAGGGCTGGTGCTGCCAAGCGTATGTCGCCGAACAGCAGGCGCAGCAGGGCGTCGAGGCACGCATGCGCCACGGCGCCGCAGCAGCCCCAAGGCCAGGGCAGCGACAGCACGCGGCGGCGAGCCGGGCGCTGCTGGCGCTGCGCAGAGCGCAGCTGTTCAGGCGGCTGCTCACTGTTGGCCTTGGCGCGCACGAGGAAGGCCTCCTGCCCCGCCTTGAAGTTCTCCTTCTTGCCGCCCCACGCCTTGAGCGCCGACGCCTGCAAAGAACAGACGACGAGCAGGTGGCAGGGGCAGGGTGAGGGGTGCTCAGAAAGGGAGGGGAGCGCGCAGGAGGGGGTGCATGAGGCACGACCAGCGGGCGCAGCCTTGCAGCGGGGCAGTCCGCGGAGGCCAGCCCGCTGAAGCGGCCGCCCCAGGCCTAGCTTCTGGAGCGGCATGCGCCGTGGCGGGACAGCCCGCAGCGGCGTCATCACCCCTCCACAGCGCGCGCAGGCCCCGCAGCGCAATGCATGCAAATCGAGGAGCACGCGCCTGCAGGGCGCGGCCAAAGGAGAAGGACAGAGTCCAGGGCTTCTTCACTCCCTCAATCATGTTCATGGCAGCCAGGTGCGCGGTCGCCTCCTCCTCAGACTGGCCGCCTGTGCGGCGACGGCGGTGGGGATGGGGCCAAGCACGGCGGTCAGGTGCCGGCAAGGGGGAAAGAAACAGACAGGGAGAAGAGCCACGAGCGAGCGGCAATGCTGGAGAGGAGGCCGAGCTGGTTGGGATGGGCAGCCAGAAGCCAGAGCTGTGCACGCCAGCCGGCAGCAGGAGCCCGGCAGCAGCAAGCAGCAGCAAGCAGGCAGCAGCAGCAGCAGCCCCAGCCCTCACCAGACAGGAACATGATGCCCGGCACGGCGGCGGGCACGGTACGCGTGAGTGTGCGGGCGGTGAGGTAGCCGGCGGTGGTGACGTCGGCCTTGGGGCCCTCGGCGCCTGCAGGCAAAAAGGCCAGCGCAGGGCGGGCAGGCAGAGGGGTCGGGGCAGGGCGACGCCCAGGCGGCAGCCCCGGCGGCACACCCATACACACACTACGTGTACCGCCGCATGCGAGCTGCAAGCGGCACGCCGCCAGCAGCCAGACCAGCCCAGGGTGCAGCCGCAGCTGGCCGGCCCAGCCCGCAGCAGGAGCAGCCCCTGCTCACGCACGGAGCAGCTCCAGCCCCAGCTCCGGCCCCGGCCCCGGCCCCTCCACCGAGGCTGCCAGCAGGAGCTGCCTCCGCGGCGCCTGCCCGCGCACCCCCAACCGATCGCAGTTGCAAAAGGCATGCGATTTGCAGTGGATGCAGGCGGCCGCACCGGACAGCACCATGTTGGGCTTGAGCAGGGTGCCCTCCAGCAGCACATGCATGTCGGCCAGCGCCTTGTAGCAGGCCGCCAGCACGCGCTCCGTCACCGCGGCGCACACGTCGATGCCGTGGGTGCCGTCCGACAGGATCTCGGGCTCCACGATGGGGACCTGTGGGCGGTACAATGGCAGTACAGCCAGGCAGCAGTGAGCGGCAGGTGCTGATGATGGTCGGCCACTGGTGCGGGCAGGGCAGGGCAGCGCAGGGTGGTTGTGGGCAGGCGTTTGCAGGCAGCGGCGGGTCAAGCCAGGGGGGGAGCGGTCCCAGGGCGGCAGAAATGTGGCGGCGGCAGGCAGCGGCAGCGGGGGGCGAGGCATCTGTCAGCGGCAGCGGCACAGTGGGCCCGTCTCACCAGGCCGTTCTCCTGGCACAGGACGGCGTAGCGGGCCAGGGTGTAGGCGTTCTGGTGGATGGACAGCTCTGCCAGGCAGGCAGGCAGGGCGGGGAGGCAGGGCAGGGCAGGGAGGCAGGGCAGGGCAGGACAAGCAATGAGTGAGCAAGCGAGCGATGGGGAGCAGCAGGCATGCACGCCGGCGCTGCCCCACAACGGATCTGCAGCCAAAGCCATCGGCCTGCCACCCACTGCGCCGCTGGCTTGCCCCACCCACGCCCCCGGGTTTCCGGGCGTGGGTTGGTCGGCCACACACACACACACACACACACACACACATTGCCCCTGCAGGCTCACCGCTGGGGCAGCCGTTGCCAATCTTCAGCACGGCGCGCCACTTGGCGAAGCGGGCACCCTGCTCGTAGTACTTGGCACAGCTGCGGCATAGGGGGTGGGGGCTTGGGGCAGGCGGTGAGGCAGGCAGGGGAGGCGAGTGCAGCAGGCATGCCGGAAATGCTTATGCTGTAGAAGACCCGCATGTGCCACCCCAGGCTGCCTCGCTCAACAGCCCCCGCTGTCTGGCTGCCCAGCCCTCGTTGCCTGGCTCCCAGAAGCGGCTGAATGGCTGCCCAGCGCCAGCCGTCGGCAACCCACCGCTTGCCCAGGTCGTCGATGCCTTGGGTCTCCGTCTCGCCGTCGGTGCCCGCCAGCGGCACCACGCCCTTGTCCACCTGCAGAGGTGGTTGGGTCAGCTGGTCAGCTGCGTGGATGGCCCAGTCGGGGCAAGGCTGGGCATGAGGGTAGCGCTGGGGGGCCAGCTGGGCACGGCAGGAGGGGCCACCAAGGCGCATCGGCATCCCGCAGCGGCTAGCCAGCCCACGCGGCACCCTTCCCCCCCTCTCCAGCCCGCCCCAGCGATCCCGGCCGCCCACACTCTCTCCGGCGCGCCCGCCACATGACGCAGCTGAGCAGCACCCCGCACAGCACAGAACAGCAACCGCTCCCGCCGCGCACCTTGATCCCCGGGATGATGTTCTTGCTCTGCAGCATCTTGACAAAGGGCGTGCCGTCCGAGGAGTTTTGGTACAGCGTCTCCTCATACAGGATCTGCATGGAAGAGCAGAAAGGGCAGTAGTAGGTACCGAAATGAATTCTTTCCTGTAAAAACAAAAGCTGGAGTTTGCTTGCTTTGTGGCGGTGAAGTAGCGTGGGGTTGGAGTGGAGGGCCAAAACGTGGGCGTGTGAGCGGCGTGTGGGAATGGGAGCAGGGCAGGCGGGCCCACCGCAGCACGGCCGCGCTGCCCGCACGTGGGTCCGTCCCAATCATGCCAGCACGCCGAGGCTGGCGTGAACGCAAGCCAGCACGCGCGGCGCGGGAGGCAAAAGGGAAGCTGGCGAGCACGGTGCAGGGAGGCACCCACCACGCCGGAGATGTAGTTCTCGATGCCTGGGCTGGTGAACAGCATCTCGCGCAGCTCCCGGCGGTGCACCTCCTCGTTGGGCATGCCGATGCTGGACAGCTGCGGGGCGGTGGAGGCCGCGGGGGGGCGCAGCGCGTGAGCATTCTGGCGGCGGAATCAACGCGGCAACTGGCGGCGTGGTGGCCGGCGCGGGCCGAGCCCCGGCCTGGCAGCCGAGCTCTGCGTTCCGGGGCGGCGGCGGGGAGGGGCTGGGGTGCAGGCGGCGGCGGCGGGGCGGGGCTGCGGGCGCGCTGCGGGTGGGCGGGGCGAGCGGCGCACCCGCTTGCCGATGGTGCCGGTGCTCTCGTCGGCAGCCAGGATACCCTTGCCGGGCGTGGCGATGGCCTTGGCCGTGGCAATCAGCTCGGCCGCATACTGCAGGCGGGCGGGCAGGGGATGCAGGCCGTCGGGCGATGGTGTGGGTTGGCAGCGCCCCCGACCTGGCAGAGGGCTAGGGCTCTGCCGCCGCCGCCAGGCAGGTCGTAGTCTGACCGCGTGGGAGGCCGGGGCTGACCGCCATCGGCCTGCCACTGCCTCTCGAGGGCTGGGCCGGGGCCGGCACGGCGTGGATTGGGCGAAGAACAGTTGGCGGGATCGTGGCGGGGAGCTGATCCCGGCGCTGGACGCAACCCGGGCTCCCACCGCCTGCCCTGCCGTCTACATGCGATCGCAATGCTGGCCCGCGGTGCCGGGCGCAGGGTGGAGCCCCGCCATTTCAGCGCATGCCCCCGTTCACTTGCCTTGTTCTCGAAGGTGTTGCCCAGCACGTTTGCCATGTTGGATGAGGTGCCTAGGATGCACGAGTGACGGGGTGGGAGGAGAGGAGGGCGATCGGCAGGGGTTTCAGCCCAACATAGGGTCAGGAGGAAAACACACAGCGTGGCATGGATGCCGAGCGGTGGGCGCCCGCGCCGCATTCCTTCGCCCTGCCACAATGGGGGCGGCAGGGCGATGCCGGGAGGTTCCCGATGAGCAACCCCCAGCCCGCGCTGTGCCACGCTGGGGCAGGCCGCCTTCGCAGCGAACGGCAGCAGGGTCCTGGAATCAAGAGGTGGTACTCATCCCCTACGTGTCACTCATACATGTGAAGGACGCCCGAGCGGCGCCATTGCAAGGCAAAGCTCCAGGAGAGGAGAGAGCCCCTGCCGCGCTCAGTTGACCAGCGACGACCGGGGGACAGTTGACCGGCAAGCTGTAGCAGGCACTCTGTCATTCTCAATTCAGGAGCACCACGACAGTCCAAATCACGAGCTTGACTGCCGCCATGGAAGCGCGCCCGGCATTCTTCCCACAGGATTGGGCGGCTCTGGGAGCGGGCGCTGCCCATCTGCCGCAATCCTTGAGGACATCAGGTTTACACTCACTGCAACTGCACAGGGCTATCCTATCCTTGCACATGTGATCTTCACCGCTGCATTTGTGCTACAAATGAAATCATGACCAGCGTGGTAGCGCCCCCCAGGCCCAACAATCATGCCTCCATCTGTTGCCATCTGGCGGTGGGCTGGCGGAGGCGGGAGCCTCCATTGCTCAGGCCCGAGGACGTTTCGACTCCCTCGCACACGGCAGCGCATTTTTACTGCTGAAAGATGGCTGCTGGTACATCCCCAAGCCAGGGTGACGTGGCTTTGGATGATTGGCGATTGCAGAACGCCTCATTAAAGGCGAATCGGCGAGCTCTCTCGGAATTACCTGGCAGCACCAAGCCTCTCCAGCTCTGCGCGCCTCGGAACCATGGCCGCCAACACTGTGTGCTGCGTTGGGGTGCGCGCCTCCGCCGCCCCTCTGAAGCCCAAGGTGCGTGAATGCAGCCCCGACTGGTGCCGTTGTACAGCACAAAGGCGCGACGGGGCCAGTGAGGAGGGGAAAGGGGAGCGAACCGGGCTGATGCTCTGAGTTGTACCAGCTGCCTGGTTTGGGCGGGTGGTTTGGGCAGGTGGGCGCAATACCCCTCGCCCAGAGCGGGCCTTGCTGATTCCCTGACTCACCAGAGGCACAAAATCCCGCTGCAAATGTGTCGGCGCAGGTGGCCTCCACCCTCGCGGTGCTGCCTCGCTTGAAGGCTGCAGCAGTGGCTGCCGGTGCGGCGGTGGTGCTCAGCGCCGCCCCTGCCTTTGCTGCCGACCTGGCTCTGGGCGAGGAGGTTTTCAGCAACAACTGCGGTGAGTGCGCTGCTCGTCCAGAGCTCAAAGCAAAGTGCGGGCGGCTGCTGGGCACTGCAACCGCCAGTACCAGCGCAGGCCAGCTAAGCCCTGCACACGGCGCCGCCGCTTGCTGCAGGCAGCAGCAGCAGCAGCAGAGCCCCCAGGGGCAGCAGCCCTCACACCCGGCCGCTGCTGCATCAGCCGCTGCTGCGAGCCGCGCACCCCCCGCCCCGCATGCTGCTGCAAGGTGCAAGGGCTCGGCACTCGCCAGCTGTGCGCCGCACCACCATCTCCACTCCGCCTGTCTGACGCCCACCCCAACACCACTCCCCCGCTCCCTGTGCTTGCCACGCGCCTGCAGCCGCGTGCCACATGGGCGGCAACAACAGCGTGCAGGTGGAGAAGACGCTGCGCAAGGCGGCGCTGGAGCAGTACCTCGAAGGCGGGTTCAACCAGCCCGCCATCATTTACCAGGTGACCAGCCCAAGCCGTAGTGGTGCCGGTGGCGGCGGAGGGCGGCACGCTCCCACTGGGAAGGGCTGCCAAACCAGCCCCAGGCTGCCATGATGCCGGGCTGTGCTGCTGGGCACAGCATCGCGCGGTGCATGCGAGTGGTGGTGGTGGTGCACACCCCTTGGTGCCAGCCAGGCCAGGCCGGCAGTCCCACAGGCGGGTGATGCCGCTTGCAGGTGGAGAACGGCAAGAACGCGATGCCGGCGTGGGGCGATCGGCTGAGCGAGGAGGAGATCGAGGCGGTGGCTGCCTATGTCTTCAAGCAGGTGAGGGTGGGGCGCAGAAAGAATGGCGGCAGCTGCCACCTGCAGTGCAGCTGACGCGCTGGGGAGACGACGGGGCACCCCTGCCCCTGGCTGCGTGCCGCTGGCCGGCTGCGGCAGACCCCTGCTTGCCTGGCTCCGCCATTGGACCATTTGCAGGCTGATGGCAACCTGTGGTGAGCCAGCCACTTGCTCCTCGCTGCGCATGCTGGCCACCCTACACCTGGGATTGGGCAGCAGCCACGATGAGAAAAGCAGGCCTGAGGCCAGCACAGGTGCATATGTAACAATATCAGTGAAAAGGTCAGGGCAGAAGCGAAATGGCAGAGAATAACAAAAATCACTCGATTCATCAATTCGGCTGTTCAGCCCTGCTAGGCAATCCCAGCCGCAGCAGCAGCCAACACCAGCTGCAACAGCAGCAGCGGCAGCAGCCCAAGGGCGCGGGCCGCTCTGGCTGGTGCTGCTGATGCTGGGGCGCTCGCCGGCGCCTCGCTCGGTGCAGCTCTCGACACTACCGGCGCCTCGGCTGGCGCCGGTGCCGGGGCCTCCGCTGGCAGAGCCAGCCTCTGCCAGCCCACGGTGACGTGTTGGTCGCCCGCTGCTGCGTCTTCCCGGGGGGTGAACGTCAGCCGCCGCACGTCGCTGCCGTCTGCCGCCATCGAGAAGATCTCGAAGCTGCCTGCACGGTTGCTGGAGAAGGCGATGCGGGAGCCGTCAGGTGACCAGGCGGGGGTGGCGTCGCCGTCGACGGTGGGGAACATGCCGCCTGGGGACCAGGGCCCATTGGGCGTGCTGGTGGTGTTGGTGAGGCACAGCAGCCGCGCGGCATCGATCGGGGCAGCCAGCGCATCCAGCGCTGCCTCCGCCGCCGGCACATCTGCCACACAGATGCGGCCCACGCCGCCTCGCATGCTGTTGAGCACCAGGCGGCGGCTGTCGGGTGCCCAGGAGCGGGAGAGGGTGTTGTTGGCGCCGGCGGTGAGGCGGTGCAGGCGCACGCCGGGGCCGTCGGGCGCCTGCTGCCACCCCTCCATCAGCCACACGTCGTACTGGCCCGGCGCATTGCCGCGGTCGCTGGCAAAGGCCAGGAGCTGGCCGTCGGGGGAGGGCTTGGCACCCATGTCGGTGATTGAGGGCGACTGGTCGGCGGGGGTGAGGCGCGTGGCGTTGCCGCCGTCTGCCGCGTCTGCCCGCCACACGGTGGTGGAGCCGTCGGCCTCGGTGCCCTCAAACACGATGAAGCGGCCGTCTGGGGAGAAGGCGGGCACCATGATGGCGGCGCCGGGAGGGCCGTCGGTCAGGCGGCGCAGCCCCGTGCCGTCGGCCTGCACCTCCCATATTTTCCACACGCCGTCGTGGCGCCCAGAATAGGCCACCCGGTCGCCGCTGGGGGACCAGCTGGGATGCACCTCCATGTCGCCAGAGCTGGGGGTGAGCTGCCGCATGTCGGAGCCGTCGGGCAGCATGGTCCAGAGGGCGGGGTCGCGGCCGCCCGTGGCACGCACGAACGCAATCCTGCCGTTCTTCGCTGTGGCTGGGGCGGCATCAGAGGATATCAGGGCGCGAGGAAGGCCTGGTGCGGTGCCTGTGAGCAAGTGCCGGTTGGGCGCCTGAGTGTGCATGACAGACGAAGATAGCGGGGCACTTCGGCAGCGCGGCAGCAGCTCCCGGTTCACCCTCAGGGTGCACATGGATGTTACCAAGCGGGTGTCCGCAGGCCACCGACAGCACCAAGATGACGGCCGCCATGGCCGCCATTCCCGCCATCCTACGTCCAGCTGTGAGCGAGAATAGGGCTGAACAGTGAAATGCTGAAGCAGTACTACCTCGGGGCAAGAAGAGCGGATGGTGACGTGCATGCTGTGGGCGCGCTGAGATGGCGGAGCTGGCGCCCCGCGGTGCCACCCTGGAGCGCACCTCCCTACGCAGATTGATGTAAAGGCAGGCCTGCAAGGGGCAGCTGGGGCCCAGATCCCTGCCCTGCAAGTGGATGTACTGCCAGGGTGCTTATCTTCCTGGCATAAACTCCTGGCTGGGACGTCCCCGAGCTGTTGCCCTCGCTGCCATCTTGCAAAACTCTCGCCAGTGCCCCGTGTCTCAGATGATCGCCTTATCTTCCCAGCGCATATAAATCAATAGCAAAGAGGTCGGGCAACAGCCTCCCTGCAAACAGTACCAGTCAACAAAGCCCGGCAGCATAGCACAAGTGCAGCAACGCTCGGCAGCGGCGCGCAAGTACTTGCCACACCCAGGGCACCTGTGCTGCCCAGACTGCCCCGGCCCGCTCGCATCGGCTCAGCGCTTTGCTGGGCTGAAGTGCCACCTGCCGGCGTGGCTACTGCAGGCGTTGCTGGCCCATGATGGCCTCGATGGAAGCCACGTCTTCTGGCAGGTCCACGCCATGTGCGCTGTGGTCAACCACCACCACCTGCGGGACAGGAAAACTTCTCTTCGAGTGGGGGAATGACTGCGAGGCCACAAGGCTGCAAGTTGCCGGCGCAGGGTGCAGGGATCGTCCCTCCACTCCCGCCCCGAAAGGCAAGAGTGATGGTGGCTGAGCGCGAGCAGCAGGAACAGCGTGCTGCCAGCTTCCGCCTACCTTCATGCGGTACCCATTCTCCAGAATCTTCAGCTGCTCCAGATCCTCCATCATCTGAACAGCACCACCATGCCAGATCAGCTCCAGGTCAGCGCCACCTCAGCGCCAACATCAGGACCACCTCAGCACCAGCAGCTGCTACTGGAGCCCCAACCTGGCCCCCGAACCCAGAGCAGCACACCGCCCCCAGCTGCTCCCTGCCCCCGCGCCACACCTGCAGCGGCGTGGCCGCCATTTTGCAGTACTGCCGCAGGAATGCCCGGTCGTAGCACTGCAGGCCCAGGTGAAGCAGGTAGGGCTTGTCGTGCCAGGGGGCGGGGTAGCTCCTGCGGCAGGAAGGACACGGGGACATGGGAAGGCGGTTGGAATGCTTTGGGATGAGCAACAGGAGATGTTGCGCGTGTGATCCATGCATCGGCTCGGGAGGGGCGGCCAGGCCGTGGCAGCAGGCGCGGGCACGCTGCACCGGGCGCCGTCCCAGGGCGCCGTCGCACCTGACCTCGCCGTCCTTATTGGAGGGCAGTACGCCACGGCTGAAGTAGATGGCGTAGCCGCTGGTGTCTGCAGGCGCGGCAGGAGCATCATGCGCATGCAGCACAGGGAAGGTGGGTGGGTGGATGCTTGTTGAGCTGGCCCAACCCACGGCCAGCAGCGCCGCCTCAGGCTGCCGCCACCTACACCAGCCACAGCTGCCGCCTACAGGCCAGCCAGGCAAACCTGTGATGCACTTGACGCGCTGCCGCAGCTCGACCTCCGAGTGCGCCAGCGGCGTGCACGCGGTGCTGCAGGCAGGGCGGCCAGGCCAGCAGGGAGGCGGGCTGCGCTGGGAAACTCTGCCCACCTCAACCCACAGCCGTAATTTGTGTGGGTTTCACAGCGCAGCCTGCAGCCTCGCTGTCAGGGCCGGCCCCACCGGCCCCCTGCCGGCTTCCATACTGCAGGCCCGCCGGCCAGGCCTTGGCCGCCAAAGGGCCTGCCCTCCAAAACTGTATGAAATCCATGACCGCCGGCCAGCCCACCTGTAGACCGCATCAGGTGATTCCTGCAGCGCCCGCACCACCGCATCTATCACCTCCGGCTCAATCAGCGGCTCGTCCCCCTGCGGCAGCAGCAAGGCAGCAGCGCGGGCCCTGGGCAGGCAGGCGTCCTGAGCGGTGCCGTTGCGGTAAGGTTACGGGGCAACAGGTACTGCCCGCCTGCCTGCCTGCCTGCCTGCTGCTGCTGCGTGCGACATGCCACCGAGCACTAAGCAGGTGCCCAGCCTCCCTGTAGGTAGCTAGGCAGGCAGGCAGGCAGGCAGGCAGGCAGGCACACCCAACAGCCCCTGCGCACAAATACACACACACATCCACACCACCTCCCTGGCCCCACCTGTATGTTCAGCACTATGTCATACTGCTTGCTCAGCTTGCTCACCGCCTCCTCACACCGCTCCGTGCCTGGTGGGGAGCAGGGCCGAGGCAGGCAGGGGTGGGTAACAGGCACGTCCGGCTCTCCCCTACCAGCGGTAGGCTGCTGCCGAGGGTCCTGTGGCACTGAAGCAGGCTGCACCTTCCCGTCCTCCCGCTCAACAGTCGCGCCCGCCCAGCTCACCGTTGGGGCAGTCTGGGTGGGTCATCACCGCTTGTGCCCCCGCAGCACGGCACGCCTCTGCAATGCGCTCATCGTCAGTCGCAACCACCACTGCATCCAGCGTCTGCGCCTTGCAGGCCTGCGCATGGCGAGGGCAGCGATGGGCGGGCGGGTGAGCAAGCGGCGCGCTGTAGCTGTGCCAACTGCACCGATTGTGTAAGGAACGCAGACTGGCATGAGCTGCGGGCTGCTTGGGTCACCCGGCTGGCCGGCCAGCGGCGGCAGCAGGCGTGCACCTGCTCATAGGTCCGCAGGATCATGGGCTTGCCCAGAATGGGAACCAGCGGCTTGCCAGGAAAGCGGGACGACTGGTAACGCGCTGGTAGCACGCCCACCTGCGAGGGGGAGGGGACAGGAACATGGTGTGCTGTTCCCCGACAGGCGCGGCGGCGGCGCCTGGCAGCGCCCGGTGGTTGCAGGCAGAGGCGACTGCAGGCAGCTTCCCGCCACGCCTACGCCTTTTTTGCATTGTCATCAATCATCCCAGGGTGCGAGAAGGGGATGCGGAGGCCCCTGGCGCGGGGATCGCATCCTGCCTCACTCACCACCCTGCGCCTGCGTCGCAGCTTCTTTCTCAGCGCTCTGGCTAGCATCACGGAGCCAACGGTGACCGCCCCTAGCGCATATGCTAGCAGCGCGCCGCCCAAACTCTGGTTTGAAGCAGACTTCTGCTCCTCCTGTGCATCCTTGGGTGGCGCCATGTCGCTTTATCGGTAGATAAAGCGATTTGAGATGCTCAGGAGATGCAGACCATGTGGGTGAGCTGGCTCCCACTGCGCTGCGCCATCATGGGGCGGCGCTCAGCGCCTTGCCTGCTGCCCGTGATCCACGGGCCCTTGGTCGTCTGCGGGCCTGCTCCGTCCCTTGGTAGGCCAGCTCAGGAATGGCAGCATTTAATTGCGGCAGGGATTCGCCGGCCACCACCACCACAACGGGTACACTGCACCGAACTAAATTCAAGCAAAACTGAACAACGGGAACAATACTCAGGAGAAAGTGAAATAGTGTGATTGCATTACTTTGTGCTAAATTACCTATCGGTAATAGGGACAGCGGCCTGCGCCGCTGCTGCTGCTGCCGCAGGCCTGCTGCCGCAGGCGCTGCTGCTGCTGCTGCTGCTGCTGCTGCAGGCGGCCGCGGCGCGGGCCCTCGCGCTGCCCCGCCTCACGCCCCGCCGTCGCCCTCCTCCAGCGCCAGCACAAAGTCCCACTGCGCGGGTGTGACGGGCTGCACCGACAGGCGGCCGTGCTTTATGAGCGCCATGTCGGCGAGGGGCGCCGACGCGGAGGCGCCGTGGCTCTTCAGCTCCTCCAGCGGTATCTGCCTGGCCAGCCGCCGCACCAGCCGCACGTCCACCATGAACCACCGCGGGCTCTCCGCCTTGCTGCCGGCATCGTAGTACTGGCTGGCCCGGTCGAACTGGGTGTGATCGGGGTAGGCCTCACGCACCACCTGCCAAGGGCGGGGCCGAGGCATGTGCGCTCTCGTGGGGGTGAGCGAGAGGACTGGAAGGGAGCACCTCTCAAGAGGTGCAGCGCAGCAGGGCTGTAGCCTGGGGCCCGGCTGCCATGCCACTCTGGCCGACCGGCAGCCCGCTCACCTCCACGATGCCGACGATGCCCGGCGGCTTGGCGTTGGAGTGATAGAAGAAAGCGCGGTCGCCCACCCTCATGCTCTGCATCACCTTCTTGGCCTGGTGGCTCCGCACGCCTGCGTGGGGGGGGCACGCGGCAGCCACAGCAACATGCACGGAGCTCAGTTGACCGGCAGCAGGAGCGGCGGAGGTGGCGGTGGTCGGGGCTGGGGAACGACAGGCGTTCCAGCTCCGCAAGCCGCCCACCGTCCCAGTGCTCTGTCTGTGCTGGCTTAGCGGCCAGGTCGTCTAAGGAGAAGACGTCAGGCTCTGACTTCATTAGAAAGTAGGCCGGGCCGGGCGAGGGAGGCGGCGCCTGGGCGGCGGCAGCGGCGGCGGCGGGAGCGGCGGCGTCCCCTGCCTTCGTGGCCGCTGCCTTCTTCGCCCCTCTGGCGCGCTTGGTAGCTGGCTGATCCGCCGCCTGCCCTGCCTGCTGAGCAGCCGATGCGGCAGCCCGCCTCTGCAATCACAACATGGCGAGGGAACCGGCTTGTGGGAGGTTTCCTTGAGCTGCAGGTGATGCAGGTCGCCAATGAGATCTGCGCTGGAGGCTCACCTTGGGTGCCATCGCAGAGATCGAAGAGGCAGGGAGCCTGTCGCAGAGCCTGGATAGTCGGCACCACATGCAATGCGTCAGGGTAGACTGGCGGTAGCCACACTCCGGATGGGGCGATCGCATTTGATCAGGCAGAGGGTCTACTGCCGGGCAGCGCCTTGGGCTGACGTGGCGACGGTG